GGAATTTTTTATAGATACAGTACTCAGTTTGCTGAATAACGTTTTCATAATTATAATGTTATGAATTTACTTTCCTTTAATTACTGTCTGCAAATTATTATCATTTTGATACCATTAGACTTTTATAACTGTTCTGCCTTTCACTGTTTTGGCTGTTTGTCACTTTACATTCTATAAGAATTGCGAGCGAATATATTTGTAAGAACAAATTAATACTTTTTCTTTAATTTTATAAGTTTAGTCACAAAATTTTAACAGCCATTTTAATACTAACATTTTCTATTCCACCTAATTTAATTAACTCTTAACATGTTGCATCGAAAATAAAATTGAAACATTTGTTGAAGTTTTATAAATATTTCTTGTTCAATTATTGAACATTAATCAAATAACTTGCTTAGCTCATAGCCTCTTCTTTTCTTAATTGTTAATTTGAAATTATTTAATGACTTACGTTACAATTAATTTTATCTCGCTTGAGAAAGTATTTATGTAATGTAATTGATTATTATTACTTCCTGCCAAATTTTTACGAGAAGAACGAAGTATGACTTGACAAATCAAGAATTTCTCCGGCGTGTGTGATTTTAGTGAGCCAGAAAAAGTAAATCGAATAATTTCATTCCAAAATATAAAAATCTAAGAAAGAGGAAAATAATCATGTAATTTTTATTGTATGATTACTTAAAAAGAAAGGCATATTATTCAAGAAACGTTATTCATAATATTATACACATTATATCGATGTTGCGATCGACACGTTTAAATCACAAACACTGTTCCGGCTGGTAATGTATCGATAAGATCTGCACCGGATTTATAAAAAGAGATCCATTTACCAAAGATGCAATATCAAACAGTTTCCGAAACAGTATAACGGTACTTAATCGTAGAATATAGAAAGGAAACGACGGCAGCGGAACTTCCGCGAGAGTTTACAATTAGAGAACGATTGATGCCGGAACGAGAATAGAAACAATTTTGCGCGCAAAAAAACGCGTGTCCGATAACCGTAACAACGCATTAAAAATCGAAGACCTCCGCTTGTCTTGCCAATCGTTGTACAACATGATTAATTAGAAACATGTGCAGAATATGGCAGGATACTGCCGCGAATTTCTGAGTGAAATCGAAACAAGCACTCTAACGAATAACCGAACCGTGATAAAAATTTTTTCGTGAATTTTAGATGCGGCGTTAGACACAGAACAGATTATTATTCGCGAATCTTTCTCAACAAATGTTGGAAAGAAAAAAAATTGAGAAGCGAAAAAATCAAAGAAATGAATTGACAATTAAGGGAACAATCTATTGCTAACAATATTAAAAATCTTTATTTTAGACCGCATATGTAAGAACACAATCAATATTAGAAATTGAAATGTCTATAACGGTGGATCTTCATTGCTTAAATAATTAAATCTTGAATTACTTAATATACACTATATATGTACTTTCATATACATCATATCGCAGTCTTTTTAGAACTAAAACTACTCGAGAATTGAAACTTTAGAATTAAAACTACTCGAATAATCGCGAATTAAATTGACAAGTAATTTTAATAATTTGATGCTACAATCAGGTATCACATTATAAAGATGTTAATGTATTGAAAAACACTTCGAAAGATTACAATATAGTACATATGCAAGTACATACATGGTAAGTAATTCAAGATTAAATTATTTAAGCAATGAAGGTTCGATCGTTATAGGCATTTTAATTTCTAATATTGTTAAAATAATATAAAAAAAAAACTAACTTATATCAATCGAAGGATCACGTTTGAAACATAGGTATTCTAAATGGTTATATCTTGGATACACAGAATTCTATATCGATTTTGTTGCCCAACTTGGATCAGAACTTGGATTATAAACAACCGTACAACATGAAAATTGCATGGGACTAAACAAATTGAACGTTACTGCAAATTTATTGCTACAAATATTTTTTGAAAACGATGTTCACAAAGTAATGGAAAGGTAATATAAAATAAGTAACATTATCAGTTAAAAAATTTAAAAAAGTTTGAAATAGGTATTCTAGATGATCTAGTCTTCCCATAGATTTTCTGTATTTTAGGTTTTCTGTATCTCAGAACATGTCATTTTAACTCATTAAGATCTCAAACAATGCATTTGAGAAATTTTTCTTTTATACCTGCCTTTTCAAAATAGTTTAGTGTCTATGTCACTTTTCGAAATATTTTAGTGTCTAATGCCATCTGTGATAAGGTTTTCTAATCTTTCTCTCAAGTTACTAGTGGAATAGCGTGTTATATTTCTACGATTCCTATTAAAATCAGGAATAATCTCCTAGAGCCGCCTCGACTCAATTTCTGCTCGGCAAGTTTTCAGTAACGTCCATTTTGTTACACAGTCCCACTGCAAATTCCCGTTGTACGGTTGTTTATGGCTAAGGCGCTAAAATCCATATGAACCACCGACGAGCCGGAACAAACGTACGAAGTAAACGACGCTGGTTGGCGCGCGTTAATAGTCTTCTTTTATTCGTGACGATGTTACAACGCCGATTAACTGTCTACACGCGGATTGCCTGCACACCCCGGTATGCACCGCACGACGCGTATACACCAACCGATATTTACGCGAGCGAATGCGTGTGCACGCGGCTGCACAAACGCACGTGGTCAAGAGAGAAAGAGAGAAATATCTAACGAACGCGACCAACGTCGACGATAAATCAACGTTGCGTAATCGAGAGGTTGATTTATATCGCGCCCGACGTGTGCCGTTGACCCGTGGCTTGTTTTTTTTTTCTCTGTTTCCTTCCTTTTTCGCACGTTTTCAATTCTTTCATTTCTTTTTTTTTGTATTCGATCTTCTCATTCGCTATCCTTATGTATATTAAGATTTTTCTGAAACGGTTCATCTCGCGAGAAATATATGACTTGGGTTGAATGGTTGCGCAATCGAGTTCCTTTTCTCGCTCTTTATCCTACACGTTGATATCTCAACGGTAGTTGACGTATCCTTGCTCGATGGATATTTCATATATATGTATGTATGCATTGCGTAGGACTTTCGCAAGGCTTACGGTATGTTTCAAG